GAGTCAAAATGGCAAAAAAAACAAGTGATATATAATAGTCCTCGTGTATTATTTATTCATCTTTTTCTCATTTCTTTCTATGTTTCTCTCTATATTTCTTTTTGTGTGTGTATGTTAATATAATTTTACTCTCATATTTGAAATTTGATTTGCTGAACTTGTGGTTTTTGGGTAATTTATTTTCCCAGTTGTGGTTTCATGTAGGGCATGGGACCATATGTCAATGGAACAGATTTAGGTTTCCTTTATGTTGTACCCAAGCACAGATTCCTCGTGTTATTCAACCGCTTAAAACTACCAGAGTGAATCATTTTGCTGTAATCTTTTAGGTCTAAACACCCCTTGCAGATGGCATGGCCTTGAGAAGAAACCCACATTGTTTCTTTGAGCAGAAAAGGCTGTTCTGCCTCCACAATGTATCATGCATGCACGCGCGCACGTTTTTTTTTTCCCCCTTCTTGTTTCTTGTTATTTCTTTGGCATTTCTTTTCCCCTTCTATACCTACCGTTGAGTGTTGATTAAATGTTTATGAATAAAGAAAAAGGGGAAATAACAGAGAAAATGGTGCAATGGATGAATTGTCACTACAAGAAAAGAGGGTATATAACACGGAAGCATTTGCGACAGCATCATTTGCCGTCGCAAAAAGTGATTTTTTGCGACGGTACCACTTGCCGTCGCCAATAAATCGGATTTCAGCGACGGCACCATTTCCTGTCGCAAATGAACAAGCTTTTGCGACGGCAAAAACGGCAATCGCAAATAATTCAAGTTTTTTGCGACGGTATGATACTTGACGTCGCAAAAAAAAACCCCCAAAATCTGGGCTTAGCTATTTTCCTCCTTGGCGCTCGTTTTTCCCCCCTTAACAAAAACCCCTAATCTTTCCCCCCTTAACCAAAAACCCCTAATCTTTCCCCATCTCTTCTTGCGACTCTCTCTCTCTCTCCCCCCTTGAACCAAAAATCCCTAATCTTTCCCCATCTCTTCTTACGACTCTCTCTCTCTCTCTCTCTTGACGGCGAGCAGCGGCAGACGACGGCAAGCAGCTGCAGACGACGGCGAGCAACATGCGACGGCAGCTAGCCAGCGACGACGGTGCGGCGTGTCTCTCTTCAACTCTCTCAGTCAGTCTCAATCTCTGAACCAGGTTAGCTCTTCTTCTTCTTCTTCTTCATGTTCTTTTTCTCTCTCTCTCTCTGGCCATCTGTGTGCTACCATTTTCCATAGCTTTGTTGTTTTTTGGAAACATAATGAATATTCTTGAGATTGAGGCACTTCTTTCAAGTAAAATTTTCTAGCCATCTTTTTTATTTGTTTTATTTATTTTTAAATTTTTAGGGTTTTGTGTTCTATCCCTCTCTCCTTACATTTATTTGATTTTTTTGTTTTTTGTTTTTTGGGTGTGTGCATACTTTTTGGTACATTTCCACCTCATTCTAATTTTTCTAGGTCGTGTTGTTGGGCTTTAGGTAATTGGAGTTTGGAGTCCATGAAATTACTCCCAAAGATGCCTACTTTTCTATTCTAATTTTCAGTGTCTTTGCTTGATAGATGGGTTTGGCCTTGAATTTTTCTTTTGTTGAATCTATTACATAGAGTGGTGTGGGTTATTAGATATGAACTCTCACTGTATGAAATTTTGATTAAGGTTTCTTTCTACCTTCTTTGGGAGTAATTTGCTCTTTGAATTTGCTGGCATATCCTTGTGCATTTTCCATTTTTGGCTTCTTCAAAATCTTTGTTCCCTTTCTAATTTGGCTATCTAGAATGTTTCTGCTATCAGGAATTTCTCTCCTCTCCTTTAGTCGTATCGTTGTTGGATGGTAGCTAACTTCATTATCTAATAGGGCTGTTTATGAGGAACTCGAGAAATATGGGGACCTAGAGAATCAGGTTTTGTGCCGTGAGCGTGTTGAGGAACTAGAACCAAGTATACGGTACTGTCTACACAAACTTGGCGAGTCAAATTTACAAACTTCTGAACTCATGCACATTAGTGAAATGGAAGGACCTGCACTCGATCTTTTCAAAGCTAAACTAGAGGTAAGTTTAGTTGTTTCAGAGGTTAAGCTATGAATAATGTTGTATCCTGATCTATTTATGGTCATCTCCTTTTTAATAGTGGTTAGATTATGTTTGCTTCCTATCTGTAAAATTGGAAAAGAATTTCCAGACTTTTGTTACATTACTTGCCATTTATCTCATGTCTCGCTTTATCTCGATTTGCAGGCTGTTACATTACTTGCCATTTATCTCATGTCTCGCTTTATCTCGATTTGCAGGCTGTTATGGCTGAGGCAAGACCTCAGCAGGCTGCATCTATGACAGAATTTCATTGGCTTGGTCATAAATTTCCAATTTCTAATGCGAGGACACGTGTTTCCATATTGAAAGGTCCGTAATCAATCTCCATTTATAATGATACAAATGGTCAGTATGGTCCGACAATCAACGGACTTGGAAAGTGTGTGCAAGTGTGTCTCTTAACTTTGTCATTTATCCTGCATAAACATAATGGTCAAGAGTTTGCAGTTGTCATTATTTGATGGCCTGTTGATACGTGAATCAGTGACTGTAACCCTCACACCCTTTGCTTTCCCATTCCGCAATGTGCAACATAATTTTGCTTGCTTGAGTTCTACACTTAATATTTTAGTAATTATAAGTTGTGAATACATGAACTACGTGGGGATGTTAACTTCAATACTCTTAGGAAATATCATAACTTGTTTGTTATCCATTGAAAAATACAAAGTTGGTGTCAAGCCCAAACTAGTTCCTGAAAACAAAAATAAGCCACTCTGAGAAAGAGCTGAAAGAGAAAGCAAATCAGTTATTATCAAAACGTGAAGAAGCTGTTGTTGTAGAAAATGAGCTCGATGCTAGAACAAAAGATGTGGAAAATGTCAAATTGGCTTTGGAATCTCTTCTGTATGAAGAGGGGCAGATGGAAGCCTTACAAAAGGTATCTCTTCCAATGGTGGTTCTGCTACAAATTCTACCTCAGATGGCATAAGTTTTCAGTTTGGTCAAAATTCTTCTGTGTATTGTAAATTGTGAGTTGTAATTATTAAATTGTTCTTCAGGATCGTGCAGCTGAGTTGGAGCTAGTGCAGAAGTTAATGGATGAAATTCGAATTCTTTTGGCATGTATTTCACATACCATGATCCCATGAAGAATCTTGATAGGACTAGGGTTAACGGTGCGGTTACTAAACTTATTAAAGTGAAGGATGGCTTCACAATGACTGCCTTAGAGGTTGGCCTTGCATGATGCCATATACTTGGTTTATTTTAGAAATGGTATAATATGTTGCCAAGTTTTGACATGTTCTAAACATAATCATAACTGGACTCTTACACTCAGTTCATTTTTAGGATGCTGCAGGAGAAAATTGTTTAATATTATAGTAGACACAGAAAATACTGGAAAGCAACTTCTTCAAAATGGTGATCTCCGAAGAAGAGTTACACAGTTATCCATCTAAACCAAATTCAGTCCCAAAATGCTTCTGTTAGATTGGTTTGTCTTTGTATTTGGCTTTCTTTGTATTTTATATATCCCGTATTTGTTTGTGTTTGTCAGAAGGTTATTATCCTACATTTTCAGGTTGGCAAGGGGAATGCAGAAGTGGCTCTGTCTTTGGTTGGATATGATCAAGAACTGAAGGTATAAATTCACATATGTTTTTTATGCTATTCTATCCTTTTGTTGCTCATTGAATTGATGGTGTTTGGTGTTGCTGGAGACCATTTGTTGTTTTGCCCATATGCAATTGTGTGCGCTGGAATGTTTCTAGCACATGCCTTTCTTAATGGTATATCATTTATATCATTGAATCATGTTTATCTGGCCAAGAATAATAAGCAATGGATGGGCAAAATCTTATAGCATTCGTGCGTTTTTGTTTTTGGTTGGATAAAAGAACTTTGGCTTGGGTTAGTTATATTTTGTTTTTAAAGAGAGTTGATGTGTGTTGCAGCGTGCTATGGAATATGCATTTGGTCCAACATTTGTTTGCAAAACTATTGATGCAACGAGGGAGGTAAGTCCTTTTCAGTAATCTTTTTCCCTAAGGTGCCTTTGTAGATGATTATAACATATATTTTCCATATGAAGATGACATTTTTTCTTTTGTTGCTTTGCTGCTATGTTTCTGGTCATGTTATATTTGAGTGCAACATTGATTCTACGTCTTGATTTAAATGTACTGTAGTTCACTAAGCAACACTGCAAAAAAGGATCGGAGAACATGTGGTGTTGGATTTTTTTCTCAAAAGTTAGAATTGATGAATGAATTTATTGTTTGACAAACATCTTAGAAACACATGCGCTTTGGTTCAAGGTTGTGCTATTGATCTGTAAAAGTGTTAGCTAAACCTTATTTTTGGCATTGGACCAAATTAATTTGTCATCTTGTACATGTCTAAACTACCACGTATTTTGAATAAATGTTTTTTTTTTTTTTTGTTATCTTGTTGAGCTTGATCTCATTTTCACATTAATGACTGGTCCATAGGTTGCTTTTAATAGAAAAATTGGCACCCCACTCTCGAGGGTGATATATTTCAGCCTAGTGGCCTTCTGACTGGTGAAAGTTGCAAGTAAGCAAATATCCTTGATGCTTTTGCCCCATTCTTGAGAATGGTAATGATTTATAATTTTGGTCAGTTGTTACTTAACTACTCTTTGCCAAAACCTTATCTACAAGTATTGGAATGTGCTTATTGAACTATGAAAACTTTCTGATTTTTTTTCCTGCACATATTTATGTTTTTTACAAGTGTTAAAAAGTAAAATCCATTGTTGCTATTATTTCTACACAAGAAGATGGTTTTAATTATTTTTATCCCCTTCTGGTAATCTAACTTTCTAAATCGGCAACTAATATTTGCAGGGGTGGTGGTGATCTGTTAAGGCAACTTCATGCTTTGGCAGAGGTTAAATCCAAATTCATCATAAGAGATTATCTGAAATTGAAGCTGAGGTTAACCTTAAATATTACCTCTCTTACTGAACAGAAATACTCAAATAAGAATGAAGTGGATAAGAATGAAGAAAGGAAGAATAGAAAACACTTTTTTTGAGCTTAAGTCTTTTCCTTTTTTATTTGTTATGTTTCTTTCTTTTAATAATATCAACGATCTTGTCATTTATTTATTTTATATCTACAATCGTGGTTGTTCTTTAATTTTGTTCCTAAGAGGTTATGGTTATTCCAAAAGCCATATAGAGTATAATTGTTTCATTATAAATTTTAATTAGTGGGTAGTGCTGGTGGCATTCTGTATCTTAACACCAAGCAGCCATTCACAACGTGTAAATGCTGATTTTCCTTTATTGTTTTCTTCTTGCCTTCGGGCCATACCCTTATTCATATTTTAAGTTTTGTCGTATTGATGTATCAATATTATATAATAACCATATCCATGCTTCATAGCTCGTATGTAGTTTCATAGATCTGCAAATCACCAAATATCAATTCAACCCCTTCATTTTTGCTTATATTATATATTTCATTGGATTTTTTTTGTCTTATCACTACTAGGTGCTGGTGGTGGAAGGAATGTGAGTGCTCATAAGGAAAATGGAGTCAGTAATAGCATGGAGAGAGGTTTTAAGCCCTCCCTGTCAGTTCCAGAAAAAACAAAAAATAATGCGAACCCTCATGTCATAAAGTAAATATGTTGCATTTTGTTTTTTTAGCCTAATTTGCTCATCTCTTTGCAAAACATTGTGCTTCCACTCTGAATTTTGTCTATATGTTACAGATCTTCTACCATTTCAGTCAATGGGCCCACACATGTTCCTGATGGCAGTTCCAGTTCCAGTCTGTAAAAGAATCCCAGATTCTTGAAAAGAATCAGCCGTTGGAGCCTTCCAAAGGTACAATTCTGTCATCATCACATGTTACATGTTTTTCTAGTAATTTTAAACGGCGCATTGTCCACGCCGTTTTATTCCTTCGCTTGTGTGATATATTGTGCCGCGGACATCAAATACCCAAGCCTTTGTATAATTTGTTATTTTGATGACTATATTTCTTTATTGTTGAATGCTTTTTATTTGTTTTATGACTAGTTTGTGCCTTGGTTTAAACCATTGTTTTGTAAGATTCTGCATGTATTAAACAATCATATTATTTGGTCTGCAATGAATCATGTATTATCATGTTTTTCTATTTATCTAGATTGTTAAACAAAAGGTTACTATATATTAAATATTAGTTTAAGTTAAATGTTATTTGATATTTTCCTTTGTCTCCACTAGTACAGATTTTACATAAAAATTGTGTTAGTCTAAAACATATAGTTGGATGGAGTCATTTCTACAGTAAGCTAGAAGTAGAGTTGGTCTATGGAGCTGGATGGGTGGGCTGTTGGCTTGTTTCAATCCTTTGATTTCTCATGTATGAGCACCTGATATATTGAAATTACTAAGAAGATTCTTGCAAATCTCATTTGTATATGCTGTCAATATGAAGATGGCAGTAATATGCATTTCATTTGGTTCTTGAATTTCATATAGGAAAGGCTTTTTTTTAATTTTTTAATTTTTTTTTATCAGTCTTCATGATCTATTCATGATCTAATTTTTGCCAACCCATATCTCACATTGTTAAAAGAAATTGTTATAAACTGTGACATGTAAGGACATAATGTACTTTCCTCAAAACAATCAGTTTTAATGCCATCAGAGTCGTGAGTCAAAAATAAATAAATAACTATTCCTAGAATCTTTGGCTGCAACAAAAGTATGAATCCTTATTCTGCCAATTTTTTATATATATAGTAGTTAATTTTTTATGTTTTTCTGTAATTAAAATATTAACACAATTATATTGTCATTAATTATTTTTATTTTGTTATTTTCAGATATTTCCGGAGTAGCAGTTTGCTTCTTGTGGAATGCAGGCATGTAAAGATTAAAATATTAACCCATGGAAGAATCATGACGAAAATTTTTGTTTTTAATTTACATTATTTAGATTTGTGAACAACATTATGTATGTATTATGCAACATTATGTATTGGGATAATTTTGCTGATGTATTGTTATGAATGGAAGAATATTTTAATTATGGATGAATTTTTATTTATATACTGGACTTTTTATATTATTATGTAATTATTGATTTTTTTTTTAGTTATTTTTCATTTAATACAGGTTATTTTGATATTTTTAATAATTTTAATACAGGGTTTTTTTTTTTTTAATTTTTTTTGAGACGGCAGAACACCCCGTCTCAAAAAGAAAATTGAACCAGGCTTTTTGCGACGGCACCTATACTGTCGCAAAAGGTAGGGAATATAATTGAAAAATAAGGCCTTTAGCGACGGTATCATTGCCGTCGACAATAGTCATTAGCGACGGCTCAGGTTACTGTCTCAAATACACTTTTAGCGACAGTATTTTTCCCCGTCGCAAAAAACCCTTTTAGCGACGGCAATACTGTGCCGTCGCAAAAAACTCAGATTTTCATCCATTATTGGCGACAGAAATTTGCCGTCGCAAAAAACGAATTTTCCCGTCGCAAAAGCAAAGGCGACGGCACTTGCTGTCACTAAAATCCTTTTGCAACCCCCTTTGTTGCGACCCCCACTTGCCGTCGCAAAAAACCATTTTACCGTCGCAAATACCTTTTGAGACGGCGTTTGGGGTATTTGCGACGGCGTTTTGCCGTCGCAAAAAATAATTTTTTTTGTAGTGTGTGATGTTTTTGAAGGGTTACTATGCTCATGGTCTCATGATTTTTCTCAGTTTCTCAGTTCAAAACATGTTCACAAATAGATGATTCATACAAGCTAAGCATTTTGTTTTTGGGTGTAAACAAGCTAAGCTTTTTGATTGAAGCTATATTGAGTGGATAATTTTGGGGCATATCAAATATATCCTTACAATTTTGTTATGGATTTATGTGCATCATGTATTGTCGATCACGATTCTCTATAATAGTTTTTCTGTGGTAAATTAATCCAATGGTTTATGTTTAAGATTGAAGTAAAATCATATCGTTTTAAAATATGTGATTTTAATGTGATTTTATTTTAGTTTTAACTTGAATATGTACTTTGTTGATATGTCTTGTTGCAATAGAAAGTACACGACAAGATAATTGCATGAAAATTCAAGAAAAATCATGACAAAAATTAGACTCACGTATCATTTTAAAGCTAATAGATTGGGATTATCTGAATTGATTAGAACCCTTAGATTGCGTTTAAATTATAGATTTGGGTAGGAATTCAAAAGGTGAAAGAAAAAAATTAGGTGGAATGTAATTATATTTTACTTATCTTTTCTCTTTTTATTTTCAAATTCCTACTTAAATTCTTATTCAAATCGATGATTGAAACACCTACACTTTCCTTTCCTAGGAAGTAAAGAAAAAATATTTAGAGCTAGTTACTTATAACAATGGCCAAAAGCTCAAATAATTGGTAGGATGGCAAAAAAGGCTATGGTCATGTACAAGTGGTGACTATATAAAGAAGCCAAATTCCAAATGAAAAGTAGAAAGTGACATTTCTTGTAGTTCTACAAAGGAAAAGGCAAAATTTAATTCCCTTTGCACTTGGCATTTTGGCATTGAAGGCAATTAATATTGATCAAAACTTTGTGCTTTGATGAAGTAGAAAGCAGTGGCATTTGGTATTGTTTTTTATGTTCTTGAAAGAAAAAAAATGTAACCTTCATACCCAAAAAATGTTTGACACAATTTTTTAGAATTATATATATACATATATAAATAAACTCTTTTGTTCAAAATTGAAAATGATTTTGAGCAACACTATCTTTTTTTTTCTTTTTTTTGTCTAATGATTTTTCTCTTCATATTTTAGTATTTTTTTTTATAATTTTACATTGTAGATACACTAAATTTTTTTAATAAATATTTTACATTTTAAGTGTGTTTAGATTTAAGTGCATCTAAAAAATTTAAAAAGATTAACTAAAAGATGAAAAAAAAAAATGTTTACTAAAGAAAAAAAGAAAGTGAAAAACAACGAACTCAAACAATTAAAAAAACTAAACCAAACAATGCTGTGTTTCTAAATTTTTCATTGTTTGCCACTGAAAACATAAAAAACGAAAAGAGTCTTTTTGCTATTAAGGCATTTCAAGTTGGACAGAAGTAAATTGTTTTGAGATGCTCAACACTAAAATGAGATTTTATCATATTGAGCCTTTAAAAAATTGGAACCTTGAGCAATAAGAATATTTTTAAATATTTTTTTGGTGAATTTAAGCATATGATTAAGTGACTTAATGGCCTTTTTTTTTAGCTGTTTAAGTGACTTAATGATTAAGCCAGATTCGATATCGAATGTGATTCTTTTCTTCTTTTATTTATTTATTTTAATATTTATTTTATTTTGAATTTTTTGAAGTTATTCTTTTTAAACACAATACTTTAGGCTATTGGAGACAAAAGGCATTATTGGATAATGTTGGGGAAAAGAGTCAGAGCCCAATCGTTCGAAAAGGTGCCTTGATTGTATTCTCTACATTTTTATGCGTATATGAATTTGAGGAATTTGTGTTTGGAAAGAAGGAAAAAAAGAAAAGAAACGGAAAGAAAAAAAAGTAGGAGATTGAGTGAGAATCTTTGCTTCTTTTTTTTTTTTTTTTTCTGGCTAGAGAAAGCTCATCTTCAAAGATACCCGGCTGGTTATTAATAGCGTGTTTACTTTTTCCCCACTGATATGCTTAACAGGGTGTTTACTTTATTTGTTTATTTAATTTTTGAAGAAGTACTTTAAGAGAGCAATTGTTAATGTATGAGTTGATTTTTGATAACACTGCCAAACAATTATTCAATTAGAGAGTACTGACAGAACAGATGACGCCTGAATGACATGTAACAGAAAGATGAGATTTCGACGGTGATTCGTCCACCTGGAGGCACTCCGACGATCAAGTCAGTTATCTCTCAAAGATAGCAAAAGTGCTTAATTCACTATTCAGAATATAAAAAGCGTACCTTAGACCCATGAGGGTATCTCCTTTTTATGGCCAACACAACCCTAGTCCCAATAGAAGCTTAACTTCAATAGACTTAGGATTACTACTAATCTTGGACTCCCAATAGGATTAGGATAAACTCTCTAAGAGTCTTTATCTTTACCCAAACTAAAGTCTTCTCTCATTCTAGGACTCTTGTCCCTTATCCGCTTATCCCAGATTCTGATATTCTCGCAGATAACCTCGGCCTAGCCAAGATCATCTTGGCATCATGACCAGGACACATGGCACCCTAGCTAACACTTTGGTGACACCTCGGCTACGTGTCGTCATTCAAAATTTATGTCCTCACAACTGCCCCCTAGGTTTTATTACCTCGGCATCTTGAGGTGATGGAACTTATATCATTTCTTCCATCTAGAACGTCGACTAAGCTCGCTTCATCATTCATTGCCGAAGTCAGATCTCGTCGGCTCAATATGACCAAGACCTATAGTCTGCTTTCATCAATGCTTTGGAACCAATAGTCAAGTTCGTTCAAGTTCATTGAGCCGAGATCATCTCTTTAGCCGAGGTCTTTGTTTTATTAAATCAAGAACTCCAAGAGTTTTATCATGCGTATGAGCTGTCACGCACAGTATTTCAACCGTTTTTGCCGCGTGTCTTTCCCTTACTGGATCGTACCTGACACGCGCCATAAAGTCGCATCGTTTTTGTGTGCGCCGTCTAACAAGCACGTCGTCCTAAGCACATTGATGGTGTTTTGCCGCCATTTCTCCGCGTTTAATCAAAATCAACCCTCTCTTTTCGTCTTTTCACTTTTGCATTCTCAACTTTGTGCTAATTCTCTTTCTCTACTCTCCCAAATCCGCCATTGTTCTCAAGCTCTTCGAGCTCTACAATTACTTCCACTCTCCCTTTCCAACGAAGCCTTTGCTGATCCTTTCCGGTCGCTGCCATCATCTGATTTCGACGTACTCTACAACGGCTTCATTTTCTTTGGTGAGTTACTGTTTCTCTTTATTTTAATTTCTTGTTTTGTCTTCAAAGAACTCTACTGCTTTACTTGCTGTCTTTGCGAACTTGCTCGTGTCTTTTGATTGTTTAATCTGTATCTCAATTTCCACTATGTATTGAGCATGTTTGTTTCATGATTATGTTTTTGCCCAATCCATTCTTGAATATACTGCTTGCATATTAGTTGATCCTTGCCACTGTTCTTGGCCTTACACACCTGCACAAACTTTATCACTGTGTTCTTGATTATTCATCACTGTTTCTTGATTCTGAATCACATTCATGTTTCTGTTTGCTATGTTTTTTTTCCAGATCCTTGCCTTCAACCTTCATTTGCCTAGACTTAGGTTTTGAGTTTTTGTCGTAGAATTCACAAATCTTAGGGAAAACTAAAACGAATCCCTCTTAGACCTTCACAAATTCTTACTACAATGCACATTTAAGTTTTAGCCGAGGTCCTTCAAACCTTCACAAAAACACTTCCTTCTGAACTTCAACACCTTCCCCCAAGCCGATATCATGGGTATGTGGAGGCATAGGGTAGACACCCCAACTAAGTTAGAATACTTCAGGCAGGAGTTTGACATCTCGGCCGACGTTCACCCGAGGTTGGCTGGAGAGGACGATTCCATCGTGCCTGATGAAAATCACATGCCTTTTCCTGTCGTTGACTTTACAGAATGTGGACTTAGGTGTCCACTAGATATCCTTTTTCGAGAAGTCCTCCATTACTACAAATTGAACTCGATGCAGCTTGCCATTAACTTTTACTGAGTTATAATGGTATAATTGCCTTAGCCAAAAAAGAGAAAGCTAGGGTTACCCTTGCCGACATCCAGTATTGCTATACCATGTGTGACCTTAAATTAGAAAAAGGCTACATCTACTATCTTAAACCGAGGTCCACAGAATATAAACTTGTTGCCGACCTCCTAGACTCCAATAAAGGAGCCGGGGACGATTATTTCATTGTCTCGGGCAACTGGAGTTCGCTCCAGATGAGAACCTTCACCTCTACCCTCTTAGCCGAACTGTATTCATAGAGGGTAATGGTAAGAACAAAGTGTTACATTTACTTGCTTTCAAGTCTTTAATA